GGAAAGCCTTTTTAGCGGACCTAATTTCAAAATTTAATCAAAATGTAGTTGGGATTAAGCTACATATTTTCAATTAATGTATTTTATTATTTGTTAAAAAAAGATTAACACAATTTAATTATGCTGTTAGGTAATAATTACTAACATCATATATATTTTACGTAATGTTAAATGAAATCTTATTTAAAAACAAATTTACAATAAATTCGAAGAAGTCTAGAATATTAAGTTAACTAATAATAATCATTCAAAATAATTTATAAATTCAATTATGATTATTTTTTATTGATTTAATAAATCTTATTTTCTTAGGAATATGATCTAGGCCTAGTTGAATTAAATCCTCTACTTATGATTGGTAAGTATATACTTGAAAGGAGCTATAAGCTTATTGGTTAATGAAGATGGTTGTATTTCTACAACTACCAATTTGAGCTCTTTATTTGACGAGGAAATATTATGTCCAGAGTCAGCGTCTGAACAACGGACGCAATACACCAGAGGTTTTTTTTTTACGAATTATCATCTACTTATTCAAAAAATATATGTATATCTTTAAATATTCTAATGATGTTTAAAAAATTTAGGCTCAAATATTTTACATGTATTATCTTATTTTCTTTGGAACGCTCTTAGTTAATTAACTAATTTCTTAAAATTTTGAGCTGTCTTTTATTCAATAAAAATTTATATAAATCTATTTAAAATGATAATATAATGTAATATAATATAATGATTTATTCCATTTAAAACTTCTAAAAATTGTATAAATATTCAAGTTATAATAAAGATGCAGATAATAGTTATATAAATAATTATATAATTTTAAAATTATTTATTATAAAAGCTGAAATTTTATCAAATGATATAAAAAATATTTAATCGTTTATATAAATTTCAATTAAAATGGATAAATTTAATACTACCAAACACATAACAAATTAGATTTTATTACAATACTAATATGACCCCATTGATATGAAAATTGACTTAGGAGCACGACTTATTGCATATTTTGCATAGATTTATCAGCATTTATAACACAATAAACAACCCACCCCTCTTATTTAAAACACATAGTTCTGTAAGCTGAAAATCTAATTCATGCATCCAATTTCATGCGATCCAATAAGCTCTTCCCTTCCACTTTGCTGGCGTACACCATCTTGAAATACTCTTCAAATTGCACGCTCTTATAAATCAGCTTATCTCCTTTCACAATTTCCGGAATTGGTCCCACCACATCACCTACGTTCAGTGTATGAAATCCAGCAATAGATAGCCTCGCCTTCTTATTATTCACCACAACTCTGTGCTCAATGCTCTTATATTTTCCATTGCTTAATATCTGCAGCAATCACATATATACTGATCAGAAATATCAATTTATATTTCTGTCTTGCATAAAAAATTACAAGATTTACATGGATATTGTTTATTTCTTTGTGTATCTGACACGTAAACTTCAATTTCTACATACATATACCACCTTGCTTAGCCTAAAAAAGATGTATTTCAGATGTGATATGAAATAGTTGGCTACGTAGTATAAATGTATAGAAAAGAAAGATTAAGTTTAGGTGATAGATATGTAAATATGTAGGAATTGGGTGGAATTTATGCAAATGATTCTAAATAATCATAGTCATGTTGTTCAAAATTTACTCTTAACTAAGTAACACATAACTAAGTAACACAGTGCTCATGAAAAAAAAAAATCTTAAGATGATCCAATATCATCAAGAGTTAATTACCTCAATAATGTCTCCAACATTGATGACAAAAGCTCCTGGCAAAGCTTTAACTGGGAGCCATTTACCTTTTCTGTTAATCTGTAGCCCCTGCAGCTCATTCATTTGTAACAATACTGTCAATCCTGTAGCATCAGAGTGAGGAGAGAATCCCAAGACCTTGTCAGGATTTGGGCATGGAGGGTAATAATTGCATTTAACAATCTGAATCCCTCCCTTAAACATATCATACAACTCCTTGAGTCCAAGTCCCAGATTCTTAGATATCATTTTTAGGAGTTCATCGGATAGTCTCTTTATCTCAATTGCATAAGCATCAAATGTCTCCCTGAATAAGTTAAAATTCGTAAAGACATATAAAAACATAGTTTATAAAGGTGATAAAAATGAGAGAGATTGTTTAAATAACTAGCACCTGAATGAAGGTGGATTAGTGGGCCAAAGCCGCAATTGTTTCAAATTTGGAGGAAATGTTGCATAGGCAAGTCTGTCTCCCCAGTCTAGCTTTTGTTCCTTTGAGTGAATGAAAGCTTGTCCATAGCCCTCTGTTTGGCCTGGCAATTGAGCAACTTTCTCCTTCTCTTCTAATGGAAGCTTGAAGAAATCTTCCACAACTTGTTTTACTTTATTTATTACATCTTCAGGTATTCCGTGATTTACTAGCTATTGGTAATTTCAAGTATTTTAGTGCACAATGGTCAAAAGAATTCAAGATAAAAAAAATTATTTGAGTGATATCATAAACATTAAATTGCGTCATCAAGAAAAGAGAATGAGGATCTTCTAATCAAAATTTTAAGGATTTATGTGATAGTTAATTGTTGGAATTATGTAGTTGTATCATGTGATTTTGATATAATTAAGCTATAAATGTTATAATTGTGTGTAAAGTATTTGTGATAGTAGATAAGAATTTCTAATGTCATGAGTTGCTTTGAAAATTTCTAGATAGAAGAAAATTCATCAGACCTAACCTAATTTAGTTCTTCTTACATGTGAGTTGAATGAGTAAAAATGATGCAGTTCTTTATAATTGGAGAAAACCTTTGTTAACTTATTTACTTAAGTGTTGGGTTCGATTCATGTGGACAATGAACCAGTTTTGTCTAGTGTATATCTCTTAGTTGTGGTTTGGTCTTGCCTTGTTGTGCTCCTATGTAGTCTATAAGTAGAAAAGGCTTTGTATAGTTTATGTAAGATTAGAGATTGAATTAGTGCTGATCTTTTCATTATCTTTCCTATTCCTTTATGATTTCAACCTTAACATATGTTAATAGCAATAAGCAACGAAAGCAATCTCCTATGCTTGTAAGTACTAATGTTATCATGCAATGCAAGTGATTACTTGATTGAAGAGTAGATGATTGGTAAGACACGTGCAAGATATTGCAAGTTGAAAAATGTCAACCGTTAGCAAACATTGAATGGTTATCGGCAGAGAACAAATTAAATCAGGCAATAGGGGAGAATTATTTTGGTCATCATCTTGAAAAGATTGTTGACCAAATTAGAGGGATGATGAGCATCAAATGAATAGTGGACATTTGTTATTTATAAGTAGCGTCGGACAACATTCAATTAGAATTATTTAAAAGATAGCTATTCATCGGTGAGCTATTTTTTTTTACTCATGATTGGAAGGGATATTGACTAAGCTGATATGCATCGAGTGTATGCACTTGAAAAATGTTAGTGACAATAGCTAGAATATCAAATGTTAGTAAAAAATGAGCATTCTATTTGGTTGTTCTCCTTGATATAAAAGGAGATTGGGCGACGTAAAAAATCGATAATGGATATTAATTGTTGACAATCGACAACCTGGTCTAAGTGAAGTTGTGAATTTTTGTGATGGCTATTTTCATTGTTAGTTCATGGTAGATTTCAATGTGCAATGACGACGGATAAGAGGAAAAAAATAAAATCCATCATTAGCATTCAATGACATATGCACTCATGTATATCAATAGTTGTTGTTGCTTGTCTCAAAAGATTATCTGCTAAAATCTCTTCATTTAATTTATACAAATGATGTGTATTTATAGATTTCTATGTATCAAACATTTATTTAGTGTTCATACTTACTCTTTTAGGTCATGGGATTACTTACCCTTTTAGGTCATGGGATTTAGCCATACTCCACTCACATGTAATTTTTTTGAAAAAACTTCTTTGAGTGTTCTTTATTAGCTTATACCAAACTATTTATCCACATTTGCCTCTCTCTAAAATGGGCATTAAATTCCCATTTAACATATACTATATGAAGACATGTAAATATTTTTAAAAATAATTATCATTTTTATGAGATTATAGAAGACTCCATTGAATAATTCATTTTAGGGGTGTCAAAAATTGATCCGACTTACTAACTTGTATCCATATGTCAAAAATTGATCCGACTTACTAACTTGTATCCAAAGTCTACTTTAAAAAACTTGGTTCGAGTTGAACCAAATAATTTTCGAAGTCGGGTTAGGAATCCTTTCGATCAGGTTTGGTTTGACCTTCCAACGAGAACTTGATCCAAAAACAATCTTCTAACCCAAAATTGACTTAAAATCAATCAGTCAAACTAAAATTGAGTTTTGATTGACCCGAAATTGACCCAAGGTTGACCCAAATAATAATTATATCTCATGTCAACGAGCTATACAGGCCGAGTCTTGGTTGAAAAGTTTAAGGCAGGTTGGGTTGGGGTAATGCAGTTTCAGGTTGGGTCACATTCGAGTCAGATCCAAACCTAACCGGTGAACCCGATTTGACACCCTATATTCTAATTAAACCCCCTTCCCTATTGATATTATTTTTAGATACCATAATTTCTTAATTAACTTATAATTGAGCGAGTTAGACTTATCAGACTCATCTTGCCATGGATGTTCCATTAAATTATGAGTACATAAATTTTGGAGTATTTGCAGCTTTTCCAACATTTCACCAACAGCCTCCCTTGACTATTGTTTAAAAGTTTTATTTTTTATTCTTAAAAATATACATCTAATAATAATTAAAAATAAATCTTATTAATTATACGAGGTGAGAAAATAAAACATTTAATGGTTGGGTCAAATTCGAGTCAGACCCAAACCTAATCAATGAACCCGATTTGACACCCCCTAATCTAATCAAACCCCCTTTCGTAATGTTATTATTTTCATACATCATATTTTCTTAATTAACTTATCATTGAAAAAAAGCAAAATTGGGTGCTGGACTTCTAAACAGATAAACATTATGTGGTATATAAATATATTTGTAAAAAATGTAAAGAATAAAGAGGAAATTAGTAATCTTTTCTGCAAAAAAAAAAAAAACCTGGAAGAAGCCCCAGTCTTCACAGGCCGAATGGAGCTTTGCAGCCTCCTCCACAGAAGAATCGGGATCGAATAACTTGCCAAAATCGATGACCGGAATCCTTTCGCCGGAGTCTTCTTCGCCGTCGCCGGCGACTATATCTTCCGCCCTCTCCGGCCTTATGTATCTATTCGGAATGTCTGAGCTTAACTTTGCAGCGAGAGCCTGCACGCTCTCCACCTTCAACGATCCTCCAAATCTCGCAAGCCCGACCTGTTCCCCCATCTCTATCTGTTTCTCCCTGATTTCTTTTCTGTACAGGGTTTCTAAAGTCCGCAAAACTCCTGAATAAATAGTGGGTACCAACAATTTTTTAAATTTAAGATTGGGGTTTTAGTGGTATTTATGTAAATGCAGGAGAATTTAGTGGTATATATGTAAATCTTCCTACTAATTTTGCTCAGAATCTTAAAAAGATCATTTTCAACGCTCATTTTGCAGGAAAAAAAAATAAAAAATAAAAATAAAAATAACTCAATAATCACTACCAACCGAACATTGATTTTAAAATTATTAGTGTAATTCCAAAAGAGAATAATATGGATCGATATCTATCTACATGGGCATCTTTTCAGATCTATATCTACTATTGAATTCAGCTCCAAAAGCATCATAACATTAAAATAAAAATATCTGTTTGTGAGGCAACTGTTTGAAGAAACAATGTGAAAGTTCTGGAAAAAAAAAAAAGATGGTGCAATTTTGTCAAAATGCCCGAAGTGCGGTGCCACATCGTGCGGGGCGGAGCGTTGTTCTGCCTCAACATTTCTGCCTTATTATTCTGAGTGGATCTAATGGTTCAAATGCATCCAAAATGTCTTATCTGAAGAGATGCAACCACCCAAGCCAGAGCAAAAGATTGACCGGATGTAGCCTTCCGAGCCAAAATCAAAGGCCAACCAAGCCGAGAGAATGACTAAAGGACAACGTATTGATCTAAATCTGAATCAATCGAAGTAAAACAAGACAGATAAACATCTGATCCAACCACTACAATCAAGTTGACCAAAGGCAGCAATCTACCTTCAAGTAGATCTGACCCGAGGAAAAACCTAGTTCATCAATATCACCAATCATCTCTCATACGCTCCTAAGGCTTCTCATGAGGGATCAATAATTGATAATACAATAGAGTATTGTGGAATGAACTATCGAAGGTCTAATATCACTTTGTCGACAGGAGCTCTTCATATAAGGATTGAGGGTCGACAAACAAACTAAATCAATTGATTGATATAACACAACCTATTGAATCGGTATTGCCAGCTCGAAGTCAATCAAACTCAATCGACCAGCAACGCTGGCTCAGTCTAGCTGACCTGTCGGCACTAATTTTAGTTAAGGAGTTGCCCATTAGAAGTTGTCGGTCGCCAAAATCGAAATTTCAAAATATGAAATCAAATTGATCTCATATCTTTCATACTTTAAATGAAAGAACACTGCACCTCAAGCCATGTATCTATCCCGAAAGATAAACAAAAGACTTGAGCGTAAGACTCAATCAAATAAACTAAAAAATATATAACATCCATTTGGTCTGCGAAAATTCTATGAAACTATTTTTTATATAAGCTGACAAGTTCCCCTATTTAATGCGAAGAATTAAATAGGATTTATATTAAACTAGATTCGAAAAAACTTCCTATAAAGACAAACCCCTATAGTTAATTACATCTTAAATAGCCGAAGTCACTCAAAAAAACTCTCAATAAAAATAAGGGAATATTATCTTCAAGAAGTTCAAAGGAATATGAATTTTCAACGATATTAGACAAAGAATTTCAACGATATCAGACAAAGAAGTGTGAAATGGGAACGACTCAAATTTAGAACATTTATTGTAGAATCCAAAGGATGAAGAACTAGGAAATATCATAAATCTGGAGAACCTCGGTGACTTCCCAAGCTACCATATGATTTGGCTTCAGTTTTGGAGAGAAATTATTTAAATGTTTAATCCTGTCAATTTTTATTTGTTTACGACTTACATTTGTGTAAAACGATCACACAAAATAGCCTGGAAGATGTGAGGATTTAGGTCGTGACGAATAATCTTAGAATCCTAAGACGAGTTAGAGCTCAGATTGTACTGTAGAGCTATACAAAAGCCTAAAGATAAAATTGATGATTTATGTCACACTAAGCGAACAACCTCGAAATTCTATGACTTGTTGTTTAATTATAAGGAGTGGTTTAACTGGTGTAGACATGTTTTGTTGTTGAAGATGGACGTGTTGCCCACAATGCTAGCTTCAAGCTCCATGTCGTAGCATCTTCGAGTTTGATGTTAATTTTGAGTGTACATACAATTGTTGAGTCAACGATCTGCTGTCGGGTACCTTCTATAAAACCAACTACTGGCCTCCTACTCTAAGGTATAGTGTGTAAAATAAACTATAGCAGGTATAGCCAAGGAAAACAATAACATAATATGTATAAGGGTAATAAAACATGCAGTATAGGAAAGCAATAGAATGTACAGTAGAGAAGAACAGTAAGGTGTGTTGTAAAGTAAAACGCTGTAAATATAAAACAAACCTGTATATCTGAGAGGTGTGTTACTCCTTTAAGTGTGGTTGATGTAGCAGATATAAGTATAGTGATAAACTTTAAGAAATGAGCTAGCATGCATTGTATAAATAAAAGTGAGCAACAAAAGAAACATCACCTGGAAAACTCGAGAAAAACCGGCAAATGACCCATGATGAAAAACTTAAGAAAAACAGCAAATGACAACTCAAAGAAAGTTATCAAAAACACAGGAAGATCCCGAAAAAAGACCACGAGTGCTTTACCAAAAGCTCCAATAAAATCACACGAAAAATCTTAATAGAGAAAACCAGGGGCCCGCAAGCACATGGGTTGGCTAGACTCATATACTATATATTTATACTCGAGGGATGTCAAAGACTACTATCATCAGTCACCCGAATGTATAGAGTCTGTCACTCAACTAGAATGGTGTCATACTAAACCTAACTTAGGAGGGTGCTCCTTAGACCAGTACCGGTAATCGACAAGTGGATAACCAAGTTACAATACATTTAAAGTTTATATTTTAGCATGCACATGAATTTCAGACATACAAAAAGAAGTTGTATCAATTTTTTAGTAAAAATATTTTTATAAATATTGTATCTGTTCTTATCATGTTAGTTTTTATCAGTTTTGAAAATTATGATTGCCCACGAGTCGATCACGCCATGGGGCGTATGACCACCAACAACCTAAGAAGGTAAGGGTCCTCCGCTAGTCTTGTGTCGGTGAATGATGCTATCATCATACAGTTCATCGAGTCCTTGGATTGGGTCCTGAGGTCATAGAATGAAATATCATTCCGCTCTACCACCAGGGTGCATTTTTCATCACCGCCCTAAGCCCAAAAACAAAACCGACTTACTTACGACCTTGCTTGATGGTTTCATATATAGCAAAAAACTATATATGCACACTTATGCTTCGGGCATAAACACCAAAAAAACTAAACTAAGAAGCAAAGAAAACAAACCAAAAAACAAGAAACATAAAGAAAGAAGACTAAGCCACCTCCAAAACCGATTTAGAAAGGAAAAACCAAAACGGTAGGAGGGTTAGCCTAAAACATCCAATTGGCGGAGCTTCTCGAATGGGTAAAGAGGTGAGACACACTTCCCCGGCTAACCATGAAACATCCCGAAAATGCACGATTTGGAAACTTCCAAAATATTCTCGAATTTTCCAAATAACAAAAAAATCTCCCAAAAAATCCTTCCTCTTTTTCTTTTCTCTTATATTACAATCAATTTGGCCCGCAGGACTGGCCCTGAAACATTTTCAAACATCTCATACATTATTCATAAAGGGGGCGTTCAAGCTCTTTCAAATAATCAAGAATTAAAATACTTAAGAATTAAAATACTTCATTTCAAAATACTTCATTTCGTGATCACCAAAACATTCAATTCCAACTCAAGCCCAAAGTTTCTAATACCATATGAATCCGACATCATCCAAGATTTCTATTTAAGTGCTCGCGACCAGGGCAGCAAGGAAAACCACCAAAATAGGTTCACGGGTAAGGGGAGCAACCCACCCAAATCCTTTATATCATAAGAAAAAGATGTCACTCAACCCTTCTATATTTACTTATCCTTCTATATTTAATGTCACTCAACCCTTCTATATTTACTTATCTAGCACCTAAACTCTTCTGTTTTGCATTGATACTATCCAAATCCTTTCTAGGATGCCTGATATAGACAACTCTTTATTTATTTTAAATCCTTTCTAGGATGCCTGATATAGACAACTATTCATTTATTTTTTTCTTATATGTATCATGAGGATTGAGGTGTTAGAAATGTAAATATATAAGAATTGGGTGGCATGTATGTAAATCTCCATTTTTTTTTATTTTGACTACAAACTTCAGAATTCATATCCTCTTTCATCCTCAACTCCATGCTTTCTACCAAAGGCCCACTAATTCCAACATAACTTAGCGTATCAACAGACTGATAGAATTCTCCTCATTTCCAGCCCTCCTTGAATGCTATATATGCATAAATACCAATAAAAAATAAAGAATTTTGTACATGTCTATATCTGCTTGAAGTGCTATGTGCATAAATATGAATGCGAATCAAGAAATCTGCATGTGTAGTCATATACGTCTAGGAAACAAGTTTGAAAGAAGCCAAATTCTTCATGTATCGACGTCCACATTTGGTTATATAGAGTTGTTTTAGGGATAAATGGGCAAAGTTTGCACACATACAAACTAAACTCTGCACACATACATGCTAACCCCAAGTGATACATATATAAATACAGGTGAATGACATGGTATATAAAATACAGGTGAATGACATGGTATAATGACATGGTATATAAGCAAAACATTGAAGAGAGAATCAACTCCCCTTATATACAAAGTCATTCATGTTCCAAAACAGCAATAACATCCAGCAACGACTAAGAAGGATCAAAAGAGGATTTGCATGTGTAACCATCCATTACCACATATTTAAAAAAATCTAGCATTCGAACTCCACTGAAAGAAAATTTATACACAAACCATGCAATTCTTAAGTATTTACATATGTAGTGTTGGGTAATGCGGAGACCCGGTCCACCGAATTTATTTAGCTTCCTAATTAAGTATCTCACCTATTGCTCACCTGCCACACCCACCTACCGCTCACCTGTCACACCAACCTACCGACCCTCCCGCTCACATCCCACACCCCACCTACCGCTCACCTACCTCTCACCTACCGCTCTAATATTTTTT